CCAAGAGATTGTAGTAGGTTTTTGTCCTGCTTGTTGCTGGGAAAAAGAGTTCCCCAACCATGTGGAAATCCTGCAGAAGTTAAATTGCCTGTAGCACCTCCGAGAAAGCTAGTCATTTGTAATAAACATTTATTTAGTGTCTGACATAGGGCCAGTCACCTGACATATAGCCACTAAGTAGCTGTTAAGCATTTCTAGATACATTTCTAGAAATTCATCTAATTATGGGAACCTCCAAAACTTACGTAGGACAAAATATCTTTTTCTTTGGACTGTAGTCTTTTGGTCCACTGGGATTTATGAAGAAAGCCATCAGTTTATCTGAAGATGAAGACTGGAAGAGGATACGAACATTGCTGTCCCCAACATTCACCACTGGGAAACTCAAGGAGGTAAAAAATATAAGAGGACTTTTAATAGGAAACTTAAAGAATGAATCTGCAGACCCATAGAAATTAGGAGCATAGAGCCTTTCCAAAGGGTGATGCTGTGAGTTGGAACTTCCTAAAGATGGGAGTTTATCTTTATGCTCTGCAATATATTTTATAAGATTCAGTATTAGGACGTCAAAGATGCCAATACTGCATTCACAGACAAACATCTACCATAATATACATTCCCATACTAATATGTTTTTAAATATGTTTACTATAAAGTAAGACTATCAAAATAAAACCCCACAAAGGATATCTACTTCTGGCAAAGACAGATCTGCTTTTTTAGAAACAGATAAATTCTGGAAAAGGAAGGATATTTACTAGGTTTTTTGCACTTTATATTTATTGATTTTGTAATCCTCCTTTAATTTTTACTTGAGATTTAAAATACTAAAATTCTAAATTTATGAATATCCCTATCATCTTCCTCAACAGATGGTACAATTAAACTTCTTTCAATTCCAAAAACAGATTCACTATAAATGACAAATTATGAGTTCATCTTTGGGCAAGCCATAGACTATAGAACTTGAGTATCCTCATCTACTTAAGTCGTGGTGTGTTTGTGTTTTGTGCTTAGATGTTCCCCATCATTGAACAGTATGGAGATGTACTAGTGAAAAACCTGAGACAGAGAGCCAAGAAAGGTGAACCTGTCTCCATGAAAGAGTAAGTTGCAGTGCACTGGATGGGCTTCTGAACTACTCCTCGGCTGAGTAACTCCAGTGACCAGAGAAAAACAGTAGTGTTGTGTTACAGTTTCAACAGGCCATCCAAGAAAGGCTATCTTCCAAGAGAAAGTTGGGAATTTAGGGGAGAGTCTTCCCTCTGTTCACAGGGGTCAAGAATAATTTAGCTGCTGAATCATCTTTTTGGCTATTCTGGAGGAGAAAAAGTATAGTTTAGAAAGAACAAAACATGATAGTGCCAACTTGTGAGTGTAGAGGGTAGGAAGTGGTGGGAAGAGAAGGCCCTTGGAGTTATTGGTAGATCTTACATGGGCCACAAAATTGACAATGTGGAAATGAACTGAAATATCTTCATGAGTTATAGAGACTGTCATAAAAGAGTAAATATTAAATCTCCTCATCACTTCCTTTTCCTTTAATGTCAACAGAATGAAGGTCCTGGAAAGGTTTTGGTAGGACAATGACATCAATTGTTGGTTAACTGGAACATTTGGAATTATGTAAGAGCCAAGCAGGAGACACGTGGTTCCTTAAATATGGGATCCTGCAAGTCCAAACAGGAGAGATTTACTGTAGTTTTAAATTAGGAATAGTCTTGGTTTCCATATTCTGCAGGAATGATTCTGCCCTGAGGTCAACCTCAGATTCCTGGAGGAGGGGAAGAATAGATCTATCAGGAGCTTTAACAAAGGATATGGATAAGAAGGATGATGCTCCTAGCCACTCAGAACAGGATGTTACTGTTGTGTGATGTGTGAAGAATAAGCTATGTGCACAGGCTCTAGGATGAATCAAGCCCTAGGTCTGTCGCCTTTCTTGTTTCCCCTGGAAGAGTCAATTATTCCACCCTTGTCCTGATGATGAATGGTGTTTGCACATCCCACTCACATGATTGTAATTTATCTGTATTTGTCAGTTTAAATCACCTTATGTCCCTGTCACCCCAGCAAAGGGGGAATTGCATCATTGGCCCTCAATAAGTACTCAACAAGAGTGAGTCAGGGGAGCATAGAGTGTGCAGACTGTCCCACAGATAGTTCTGGCAGGGTGTGGGTCTCTGTCTTTCCTGGTCATAAGAATCTACTCCCACATCTTGCTCAGTAAGTAACAGAAGGATGGCAGAGAAGTGCAAAATTTAATTTTTCATGTCTTTCTCTACTCAGCATCTTTGGGGCCTACAGCATGGATGTGACCACTGGCACATCATTTGGAGTGAATGTCGATTCCCTCAACAACCCAAAAGATCCGTTTGTGGAAAAAATCAAGAAGATCTTAAAATTTCAATTTTTTGATCCACTTTTCCTCTTAATATGTAGGTGGTCTACTATTTTATTCTTTCTCTCTTTTGAAATAAAACAATTGAGATATTCTACACATACCATGTTATTTCCCCCATTTAAGTGGTAGAATTCTATGGTTTTTCAGTATATTTAAAGATAATTGCAGCCATCGTCACTAACAATTATAAAATATTTTTATCAATTTGAAAACCTGTACTTTGTAATTATCAACTTCCCTATCCTCCTCTGGCCTAGGCAAATATTAATCTCTTTTCTAATTGTGTAGATTTGCCTTTTCTGGAGATGTCATCTAAATGGAATTGCATGATACACAGCCTTTTGTGGTGACTTTTCTCATTTGTCGCTGTGTTTTCAAGATTCAGTCATTGTGCAGCGTGCATCAGTGTTTTACCTCCTTTTATACCCAGAGAATATCCCTTAGCACATACGTAGCACATTCTGTTGATGCATTCATCACTTAACATACATTTGGATTGTTTTCATCTTTTGGCTATTGGAAACAGCTCTGCAATGGATGTTCATGTACAAGTTTGAATTTGAAAAACTATTATTAGTTATTTTTCTATTTTATCTTTAATCTTATTGGTTCATATTTGCAGTATGGAATACTGGGATTTTATTTCAACATATTTGCATATGCATGTAGCATACTTTGATTAATTTAACTCTCCCATTACCTCCTCCCTTTTCTCTACTCTCCCTTGATCCCCTTCTACTTTCCTGGTAGTTTCTCATCTATTTTCCTGTAATTTCTTTCTTTTTCTAAATATTTTTTAGATTTTACATATGAGAGAAAACATGTAATAGTTGACTTTCTGAATCCAGCTTTTTGTACTTAACATGATGATCTCCAGTTTCATCTATTTGTCTGCAAATTGCAGGATTTGACTTCATTGTTATGACCAAAAATATTACATTGTGTGTATATACAACATTTTCTTTAGCCATTCATCTATTGACAGCATAGCATCAGTCAGTTTAGTTTATTGTGAATTGTGTCACAAAAAACATGGGTTTCCAGGTGTCATTGTAATATGGTAACTTTAATCATTTTGTGAATATACTGAGGAGTGGCATAGCTGTATCAAGGGGTAACTCTAATTTTAGTTTTTTTAAAGCACCTCCACTCTGAGTTTTATTGTGGCTCTATTAGTTTATATTTCCACAGACAGTGTAAAAATTTCCTTTTCTACCATATCTTTATCAGCATATATTGTCTTTTATATTCTTGATGATAGCCATTCTGACTGTGATAAGATAAAAGCTCAGTGTGTTTTGATTTGCATTTCTGAACATTTTCTGGTACATTTATTGGCCTTTTGCACTTCTTTTGAGAAGTCTGTTTAATTCATTTGCTTACATATTGATTAAGTTATTTGAGTTTTTGGTGTTAAGTTTTTTGTGTTCTTTATATATTCTGGATAGTAATTATTTGCCAGAAAAGTAGCTGGTAAATATTTTCTTGCATTCTGTGCAGACTCTGTTTACTCTGTTTATTTTTTTCTTTTCTGTGCAGAAGCTTTCTAATTTGATGTAACTCTATTTGTTAATTCTTGTCATTATTTGCTGAACCACCAGAGTCTTTATCAACAAGTATTTGCTCATGCCTGAGACAAGTGTTTCCCTATGTTTGCGTCTTGCATTTCAAAGTTTCAGGTCGTACACCTGTGTCTTTAATTTACTTTCAATTGATGTTTGTACAGGATAAGGGACAGGGATCTAGTTTCATTGTTTTATGTATGGATATCTAGTTTTCCAGGCTCCATCTGTTAAAGAGACTATATTTTTTCTAAGGTGTATTTTTTACTCCTCTGTCAACAACCAGATGGCTGGAGTTGCATGAGTCTCTTTCTGAGCCATCTATTCTACTTCATTGTTCTATGTGCCTACTTTTGTGCTAGTACCATACTCTGTGTGTTACTATGACTTGTACATAATTTGAAATTATATATTGTGATGCCTCTGGCCTTGCTTTTTTCTTTAGAATTGTTTTATCTATTCTGGGTCTTTAAATATCCACATGAATTTTAGGATTGTTTTATCTAATTCTATAGAGAGTGCCATTGGTATGTTTTTTACTTTATATGCTTTTATTGGTACATTTTAGGTATAAATATGACATTCATCATTGGAAATTTGCACCTTTACATAATCTCTCTTGGTTCTTATTTTTCCCCTTTCCCTTCCCTCCCTTCAAGCCCTCCATCCCTCCCTATTTACAAAGACCTTGTTACAACTTTTTCATTTTCTCATATTAATTCCATTCCCTTCTTTCCTTTCCCCTACCTCACCCACTTCCCCAGCCCTTTTGCCCCTTTTCTTCCAATTTCACATTATCTATTATACCTTTTAGTCCTTTACACTTTCAGTTTCTTACACTAGAGAAACTATTCAGTATTTGCTCATGTGTGGCCTATTTATTTCACTTAAGAGTATCGCCTCAATGTGCATCCATTTAGC